TTCTAAATTACAATTTAATATTACTTCCTTTTAATATGAGCTCAGGTACAACTATTACCTAATCAAAGGGACACGACTCTGTCTTACGTTTTCAGTTCGCATGCATGTATATCAAATATTAATAAATTCAGTTGTTATGTTTTGAAATCATTCCGTTCAGTTTTGTATTTTATACTATGTGCTATATTACGTCAAATATAAATTGTCTACGCATTGTCCTTAATCCCACCTTTCCTAGCCAAAGTTAAATATTGGTAACACCACCATTACAATAATACTACAACCTAATTTCTCATGGTAGTATTAGCCTTTTGTTTTATAAGGAAACTGTGGCAGACATGACAGAACCTGGGACGAGCACAACTGGTCGCGACTTGCCTTGTCCCCGCCAAAAAAGAGCCCGTATTTGCTTAGCATGTAAAGCTACTGCAGTTAAAATGAGGGAGAAAAAAGCACTTAAATAACGGATTACCGCTCTGCCGTAATCCGTTCTCGGCCAGATAACGTAAAAGAATGAGGTGGGGACTTGCATTGCATTTTTATGCAATAAAGATGCAATGCATTATGGGACAGGGACGCAATGAATTATGGGATCACATGAAGACGCAAGGGATTATGGGTATATGGACAAATATAAAAGCAACTACTTTTTCCCCAGTGCGGGAAGTTCTTCGAGTGACGTTCACGGTTGGTGGCTAGAACAGTCTGTTAGTGCGATTTTGAGACAGAACTCAAGAAGGAACGACTCGAGATTGAAATACCAACTGGGAGAGCTTGAATTTATTCGCTGGTTGCTGTTTTCTTTATACACCACAGAAACATTCGGATTTCATTGACCGAACGGCCAGTGCTGCCGGCATTTAAAATTTATCAAAATCTTTCTTTGAAAACAATGTTTGAGGAAAATAGGTTTCTCAAGTCCAATAGCTGTTATCGCTCTTATCAGTACTCCGTCCTGGATATGGCGATAATCTACATCCGCGTTTTGAGTAAGACGATAAACTACGTCCAGCAGCAAGGCCTCTGATCAGGAGGTTTTGAAGAGCGTGGAACCGCCTCTTAATTGCTGGTGTTCCCAGGTCCACCCTGACTCGGGGTGGTAGCACCTGTTAGGGTCCCAGCTATGGGCAAATAGTTGATTATTACCAGCAGTACATTTTAGAAAAAAAAAATATTACCAACAATACTTTTTTGAAAAATATTATTACTAGCAGTACATTTTTGAAGGAAAAATATTACCAGAAACAGATTTTTTGATAAATAAAAATATTGCCAGCATTAAAAAAAAAAATTGTCGGCATTAAATAACCTATTGAGGTGTTGATATGCCGTAAAACAAACCAGACCAAAACAAACTCTTATCAGTAGTGACGGGGTGTTTCCTTCCTAACCTTTTATTTGAAGTAATGTCGAATGTCAACATCCCCTCTTACTCAGCATGCTTAGTGTGTTTCTATCGATATTTGTCTATTCATATCTTTATCTTTCTATATCTAAGTTTATTTTTATCTCTCTTGTTCATGTTTGTTTTATGGTAATGGGAGCCGTTTCTTTATAAGGAAACATTCGGCATTCATTGACCGAGCGGCCAGTGCCATCGTCGGTTGAAATTTATAAAATCTTTCTCTTAAAATAATCTTTCAGGAAAATAGGTTTCTCAAGGCCTTTAGCTGATATCGCTCTTTCCAGTAATGATGGGTGTTTCCTACTTAACCTTTTGTTTGAAAGAAATCATGTCAGAAAAGGATGCGTCCTCCGGCAGAATCCGAACATGCGACCACTATGTCATTGCATCTGGTGTGCTTGACCGCTCGGCTACGTAAGACTTCCAGTCAAACAAGGCTCGAATAGTGCCTTTTGAACACACACTCTCTGTCGATTCTCAAAACATCCATATCAAATCCGCCATATTGTTATGTTTAATTTATGTCGTTTTTAAACATTGTTTTTGATGGTAGAAGCTCTGGTTTTTTTTTATTAAACTGTATTTTTATCCTACTACATTTATCAGCTTGAATATTTGACAATATTTGACAAATGAGAAAGATATATATATATATATATATATATATATAGAAAGAACAGTAAGATATATAATCCGGTGTTCTTATAGATATTTTTATTTTTACAAAATAGTGCTCAATGTAAATTTACAGAGCATTAATACTATAAATTAACTGATTTAAAATGTTTTTTTTGCTACACAGTTCTAACCATGTTTCAAAAATGGAAGCTAAAAGCTTCGAATTTAATTTTGTAATTCCGTAACGATTGTAAGCGTGTCCTAAATGATGCTAAGTCACTATTTGCGGCTCGAATGAAGGAACGTATTGCATCTCGCAAATTTGGCTCCAAAGATTATTGGCGTCTCTGCAAGAGTGTATTGAATAAGTGCAAACCCTCTATACCTCCTCTATTCAACCAGTTCGAAGTCTTGACCTCCTCTACCGACAAGGCTGAATGCTATGCTCGAAATTTTCATCCAACTCGACGCTCGACTCTTCTGGTGTACCCATACCCGACTTTCCTCTTAGAACTGAGGCCATATTGAGTGGGTTAAACATAACCTCAACCTTGGTACTGGGCGTTATCTCCAATTTAGATCTCAACAAGGCGAGTGGTGGAGATGGGATACCAGCCATTGTCTTAAAAGAAATGCGCGCCTGAACTGGCGCCCGCCCTTTCGAAACTATACAACTACTGCCTCAAGGAATCTTGTTTTCCTGACTGCTGGAAGTCCTCTTCGATTGTTCCTGTCTTCAAGAACTCCGGCGACCCCTCTGACCCTTCCAACTACCGTCCTATCAGTCTCCTTCCCTCTTCGGCAAAATCTTCGAAGCTCTAATCAATACCGGGGTGGTTAACCACCTCACATCCAATAATCTGCTCTCAGACAAGCAATATGGTTTCCGCTTTGCCAGATCTACAGCCGATGTGCTCACAGCCATCACGGAAACAGTCTACCGAACTCTCCAAAATAACGGGGAAGCCCGAGCCGTGGCACTAGATATCTCCAAAGCATTTGATAGGGTTTGGCACGCCGGCCTTCTCCGCAAGATCCAGGGTTATGGCATTACGGGTCAATTATATAACGTAATACAATCATTCCTGTCAAACCGTGAATTGAAGGTCGTTCACAACGGATTCTCCTCCAGTTCCTACCCCACGAACGCAGGAGTTCCTCAAGGCTCCATCCTAGGCCCCACTCTATTCCTTATCTATATAAATGACCTTCCTGACGCCGTAACTTCTCAAGTCGGCATCTACGCGGATGATACCACAATTTATTCCTGCCTCAAAAACAAATCCAGTCTCGCTGACAAAACTCACCTTGCCGTGCGCCTCGAAAAGGACCTCCAATCGATTGTGATCTGGGGCAAGATTTGGCTGGTCAACTTCAACGCTTCGAAGACTAAACTGCTCTCTATTAATCACCACAGAGAGCCTTCCCTTCCTCCATTATAATGTCTGACGCTCAACTTCCTGAGAGCAACTCTCTGCGGCTTCTCGGTCTCACGTTGACTGCTGACCTGAGATGGAATAAATACATCGAGTCAATTGCCTCGTCCACTGCGAGGAAAGTTGGCTCCCTGAGCCGTGCTAGGAAGTTTTTCTCCCTGAGTCGATCCTCCAGATATACAAATCCACAATTCGCCCTTGCATGGAGTATTGCTGCCATATATGGTCTGGCGCCCCTTCTGTTTGCCTCAGGGTTCTTGATAGGCTCCAGAGGCGGATATGTAATATGGTTGGCCCTACCCTGGCGTCTCGTCTACAGTCACTTTCTCACAGACGCACCGTCGCCTCCCTCTGTCTGTTCTACAAATACTTTCATGGAAATTGCTCCGAGGAACTGCATTCGCTGGTTCCCAAACTTCATGAGTTCAAGCGCCCTACGAGGCTGGCATCCCGCTCTCACCCCTTCACTGTCGAAACTCATAAATGTAGCCGTCTCTACTACTACTAATAATAGCTTGTCTCTCGCACCTCTCGCCTGTGGAACTCTCTTCCCTTCTCCTGTTTCCCTGAGAGTTATAATCTCCAGCTATTCAAGTGTAATGTCAATCGACATCTCCAGTTGCCTTAATCTATCTACTACCCTCATCCTTTCTTCTCTCACTCCTATCTGATCTTCCTATTTTCTGTAACCCCTTGCGTCCTAGTGGCTCCCCGCCTTGCTTGGGGTGAAATGCTTAAAAAAAAAAAAAAAAAAAAAAAAAAAAATTAAAGACATTAGTTCTATTTCATCCTCAAGCGAATTTTGGGGTAACTTATTTTTAAAATTACTGGGTTTAAAAGGCATATATATTGTCATCCACAGACAGACTGTTTCGCTGTATCACAGCTCATCAGTGTGGCTAGACGTTCGGTTGCCTCTTGCTAGGATCAAAACGCGGCTGAATTGGCGTCAGTCGGATATATATATATATATATATATATATATTTGATTGAATGTGATGGGCAAGAGATATTTTAGTAGTATTATTTTTCAGTTTTTGTAGTATTTTTACTGCTTTTGTTCATTGGTACAAAGTGAGAATACAAACTGTCTATAGTGATTATTGTCTCAAGCACTTTCAGCCAATTCATTAACAATTTTCAAGGGCTTTCTTAATAGTATACTTTCCTGTGTTTATGTTCTAACTTGTATTGTGCAGAAATAGCAGTAATTCTAAGCTATGCTGGATGGAGGTAGTAGTACCTCTAAGCTGTGCTGGATGGTAATAATAGAAATTTCATATAAGTGATTCATTTAAAAAGCCCACTAACACGTTTTCCCCTGTTCCCAAAGTGCCTCAATTATCTTTAGATGTCTTTTACAGTTCATAGAGTCTAGGTACCAAAAGACGGTAGTTTATCAGGACAAGGAATAAGGAAGCTACATTATGGCCTGTGAGACAATTCTTGACAGGAATCAGTGGTACCAACACGGGTACTTACTTATCACTGAAAGACGTAGCATTATTGGATACTGTCTTCACTCTCGTTTCTTTTCTTGAATGTTATTCATTTGCTCTGTATTCCGAAGTAGGCTGTGGAATCCAAGATGGCGTTACAACAATGTTTGTATTTCACAGCTTCCTCTTCCCAGTTTATTATTATTATTATTATTATTATTATTATTTTGCGGTTAAGAGGAAATGTTATCCCACTTTTGTCGATCATGTTTATTTTATCCGTGGATGGGAATGTGTATCTACATATTTCGTTCCATATATGTATGCGAATGTTCCATTATATGCTTCTACTATTCAGCTAATCATAATTAATGATAAACTAACTTTACCCATTGACTGACCATTGCGCAGTGTGTAAAAAGGAAGGTGACTATATTGACGTCTAGATTTGGAAGCCTGAGAATTTAGTGTTTCTTTTTCTTTCTTTTTTCTATAAATATTTTCATGTTAATAGTTCTGATGAGCCCTTCTCGTTGGTACACTATTTACATTATTCAGACTATTGTCCTCATCTTTGTCGCTATATTTATTACAACGATTCGGCCGTTTAGTATCTGTCTATATTTCTGAGATGAAGTATTATGTACACTATTTACATTATTCAGGCTATTTTGTCCCCAACGATTCTTTGTATCTGCCATATTTATTTTACAATTGTCCTCATCTTTGATTCATTACAACGTTTCCGTTTCAATATCTAAGATGAAGTATTATGTACATATTTGGACTATTGTCCTCATCTTTGTTGCCATATTTATTACAACGATTCGGCCCTTTAGTAACTGTCTATATTTCTGAGATGAGGTATTATATACACTATTTACATTATTCAGACTATTATCCTCATCTTTGTCGCCATATTTATTACAACGTTTTCGGCCGTTGTATGCTCCGGCCTTCTTCAGGTGGTTGGAATGTCGGACTGAACCCTTTATTTCGCTCGCCGGGGTAGACTGTTCTAGTTCCACGTGCCATGTCTAATGGATGTCAGTTATCAGTTATCTCCTGTTAATTCCCCTCTCCAAATTCTCCACCGCCTTAACCAGGTATTGAACTCACACTCTTTGGGTTCTGTCACTGGATCTAGCTAACGCCTTTATCCACTGTACCATGTGTCCTCCGTGGTACCTCGAATTTAAGCACGTACTAGATTGGCAACTAGGTCTCATCATTTTACAGCGGAATTTGATAGATGTAACTGTAGGGTCTATGCTAAAAGCTGCTACTCATCTGTGGAGCTGTCTTCCAGTATCCTGCTTTCCGGTAAAAATTGATGTCCAGAAATTTAAATGTAATGTCAGTCGCCATCTCCTGTCTACTTGAACCCTGCTCTTTTATTGTACGGTCTTTTTAATAACGTTTTCTTCTCAGATTCGTTCACACTCAGTAACTCCTTGCGTCTTAGTGGCTTTGTTGCCTTTTGGGGGGGTGAAATGATTTTAAAATGAATTTGGTATGCTTTGCGTGTTTTAATAGTAAAGCTGCATTTTTTTAAATAAAAAACAAACAAACAGGTAATGCACTCCCCACCCGTTATATCATGATTGAGAAAAAGATTATAATATTATGTTGGGAATTAGATTTGAAATTCTGAAATTTTCTGTGTGTTTTTTTCTTTTGTGTGTGTGTGTGTGTAATTTGTGGGCACCTACTATTAAATCTGTTCTAATTAAAGAAAAACACCCATTACTTTTAGACCACTCCTCAGTCCACGACATAGAAAAAAGGAGACTATGTTGAAGACTAGATTTGAAATCCAGAGACCTTTGTGTTCATTTGGGAGTGCTTTTCTCATGTTTCTATTATTACATCTGAACATGCAATATTTTCCCCAACTCAGGATTGCGAGAAAAGGAGCCTATTTTGAGAAATTGATTTGAAATCCTGTCTTTATTATGGTAAATTTGTGTTCTGGAACTAAATGAGACTGAACATTAGTTTTTGACTGACCCTAGTACCACAATGGAGAAGGAAGGAAACTATGTTCGGAACTAAATTTGCAATCTTCAGATATTCTTCACTTCTATTACATTTGCTTTAATTAACAAGCATTACGTATTTTTATGTTCTGCTATTAAATCTGTTGCAATGGAAGATAGACAGTGCATTAATTTCTGGTCAAGCAACACAGAAAACTCGCTCGTTTATTTCGAGGTGGAATGTTCTGGAGTAATGTGTGCAATGTCTGGCGAGACACGAGAAACACTGTGTAGTTTGACAGATTAAAAGAGTTATTGATGTGTTCAAATCTCTCAAACATTGGTGTTGTACTTTCATTTTTTGTCTCCCTCACCTCTTTTTTCCTCTCCTTCACTTTTTACCAGTCGGCTTTCTTTCTTTCTTTTTTCATTCTTTCTTTCTTTCTTTTTTCTTTCTTTCTTTCTTTTTTCTTTTTTCTTTCTTTTTTTCCTTTTTTCTTTCTTTCTTTTTTTTCTTTCTTTTTTCTTTTTTCTCATTTGATTTTTCTTTCTTTTTTTCTCATTTGATTTTTCTTTCTTTTTTCTCTCTTACTTTCCCTTTCTCTATTTTTTCTTTTTCTTCTTCCCAGATTTTTTGCTTTTTAATTTTCTTACCTTTTTCTCTCACTTTCTTCCTTCATTTTCTCCCTCTGTTTTTC